TTTAAGCAATAAAACGTGAAAAACTAGAATGGCGCGAAGCACGCAAATAAAACAAAGAAACCAAGAAGGTTCCAAATTTAAATTTTTTCACAATTTAAAAAGTTCTAATCATAAATTTGGCACCATAGAGGTTACATTAAATAGGTTTAATGACGTTTTGAATTTACAATTATATTGAGTACTCATTATATGTGATGTTCTAAATTCAAATCTACTTTGCCGCTCAAGCGAATAAAATAGAATTTTCCAGCCAGATTTCGAAGCGCAAAATTACACTTTCCGAGGTGGTGGGATGAAAATGTACTTTACTTTAGGAGTATAAGTGCAGCTAATTATATTGTTTTCATTTAAAAATAAACAGTTCCCAAAATCTACGTAAAGTCCGACTCAGTGTATCCCTTAGGAGTTACTCATGTGTCATTGACTTGCTGTATAGAAAGTGACCGAATGATTTTGATTTTGCTCGCACAGTTTGGAGTAAGTCCAGGCGATTTCTCGAAATAACTCCGACGGTTCCGACATCATGCTATATTTCGCTTATGCACGATCATACGCTTTGTTCCGTTAGTTGTGGGTATTATATGGTCATTGTTCACTGAATAAAGACTCACACCCTAGGTAGCACTGACAGCAGCAGAGGCCGAGGAAACGGTGGCCCATGCGCTCCTCGAGTATACCGACGTCGCCCAGATCCGCGGGGAGACTCCCGGTACACCGGGATACCTCGCAGATGCCTTAAAAAGACTGAGAAGACTGATCTGCTTCTGGGAGGAGGTGAGCTGGCTGGAATAATCGGCCGCCACGGCTCACGTACAATGGTCCATTTTAAGGACTATGTGTGGAAACCATAACCCTTAATACAGACAACATAGAGGTGTGGCACAACGAAATTTTAGTCCATTTGTGCGTCCGTCTGGGTACATCAGCCATCTAACATCAGATGTTACTATTCCATCTGATGTTAGCTGTAAGCGGAGTCCATTTAAAGTTAAATAATTTATTACGAACAAAGTGAGGTACGGTACTCTACCTGTGTGAATACGACTCGCACTTAGCCGGTTTTTAATGAAAACACGTTTTGTGTGGCCTCCAAATGTGTTGTAACTCGTTAGTATAATAATTATATTCTCTCAGGTCTGGACGAACAAGAGGTATTTAATAATGATATTTTTAAATTTTAAAATGAAGGAGATGATAACCTTTCTTTTGCATATGAGATAAAAAGGACAATGACATTATGATGCATTTCGTCTAGGCAAGAGCTATTTATAATATTATTATGTTTATTGTCACCGGTTTTGGTTTGTTCAGCCATAAAAACGTTCTATTCATCATAACATAGAGGCAGGATGACATTCTTTGTTATTTACTTGACCGTGGGGCGAGTGAAAAGTATTTGACATGTATGTATCGTAGGATTATTAGATAAATAGATTTTCGTGAAAATTCTAGGATTTTGCGAGAACGCGGATAATTAGACAATAGCGATGACATTGCAATCTTACTGTTAACATTTTTTTCTGGCGCTTTGCTGGCCTCTGCAGCGGCATGCTCGCTACGTTCGCTCGGCTCGCGTGCCATAGTCACTAATCTTATTTAGTGTGAACCTAAGAACCCCAAAAACCTAAGAATATTTATAATAAGCCAGCGATTCTTTTCGCAATCTTACTGCCTTAGTACTCGGAGTACGGAGAAGGACTTTTCGACTTCCGAATCGACTAACTGGACATATTTAAGAGGGACAGGAAGAGTGCTAGGCGAATACTGCGCCTCCAGGCTGTCGGCCAGGCATTCGGCCTTTTCGTCGTCGTTAAACGTGATGGATCAGTCAGGTTTGGTCAGGGGAGGCATAAAGTATTCCAGAGATTGGCAGCTGGCGAGATCCTTCAAGTCAGAGCACTTGCCTCGCCAGCTTCCAATAAGCTTAGTGTGATGGCGAAATCTCTTCAAGTAGTTCATCCCACTTAGACTCCCGCATTTCTTTCATTCGTGCCTTAACAGCACGCTGCAAGGCACGTAAACGGGAGCGGTTGTCGTCCGTGGGGTGGGTGTCGAATGCCCTAGTGTCAGCGTTCTTATCCCTCAATAGCTCTCTAGCGTCATCCTGTAGGTTGCAGCGATGGTCTGGCATCGCTGGAACCTGTCAGGACGCCTCGCTTATTGCGGAAGTGAGATGGCTCGAGAGGACTCCGATCACAGAGAGGGTGTCGTGAGTTGAGGTACATAACCTCGGCGATGGAGTTGAGTGGCGAGCTGGCGAAGGGTTCGAATAGTTTCTCGATCCTCCCCCTTCTCGTCACTGTCCTTGAGGATGGGAGGTCGGATAGAGGGTCCATTGGAAGACAACTGGGCGGTGGCCGGAACAGAGTTCATGGAACGTTTCTATCGAACGCAGTCTAAGGGCTACTACGTTCTTTATTAAGGCCATGTGTCTAGGGGATTAGCAGTGTCACCTGCCTGGGAAGGGAAGTGGGTGGATTGATTGGGCTACAAATCCACTGCACCTGCTTGCTATTAAGGTCTCCAGCTGTAATGACGGCGTCGTCCATAGCAAACAGGGCCTCTAGGTCTGGTTGGGTGAGGTTTTTGTTAGGGGACAGGTAAGCTGTAATACATATTTTATTGTTATTGCCAATAAACATTTTTCCTGTAGTGATAATTTAAAGCGTAGTTATTACTTTATGCGTACTATAGTATAGGTTGTAATAAATAACGTACAATAATAATCATAAAATATTACCTAGATCATTGCAATACCAACATATTACATTTGCTTTCAATACATAAAAAACGTGTAAAAAGATAAACTTAAGCTTTACCTAATTAATCAATTGTTAGTACAATATATCTGTTTTGTTTACGTTTGAATTGGAAAATTTCTAATAAGATAAGAAGAACTTATTTTTAGATTTATATGTAGATATCAAATATAGGTACTTGTTATACGAAGTTTTACTAGATATATAGAATCGCGCTATCGTTTTGTTTTTATTGCTACTCAGCACGCAACTTAATAAATATAAAAAGCTCTCTTTTTGAACATGGAACAGTAGTTTCCATTTATTTAAATTAGATAGTTTCACCAAATAAGTAAATTGCTTTGTTATTAAAAAAAAAGAAGCGTAAAGGACTTTATTAGTATTGTACTACTGAGCGGGCAGAAAAAGTGTATGAAAATTAATTGTTAACGTGCTGATTTTTCGTCGGATGGTATGGCGGTATGACTGCGAAAAAATATATTGAGACGGATAGGGGAGGGCTCTAAGCCCAATCCGCACTGGTCCCAACTCGCACAGGGCCCAATCTGCACAGGGTTAGGTAGGTATTTGTAGGTTTCAGTTCTGGTCTGAAAAGTATATTGAAAGTCACCACCGAGTCGGCTCATACTCGTACCAAAATTGTATTCTAAATTGAGCAACCGTGCCGGATTGATACTTGAGTTTCTTGGGGCTACACTGCGACTTAAAAGATTTGTTGTGAACCACCATCAAAATGAAAGTACTTATCTCTTTTAGTCCGATAGCTTCTAAGAAGCTTGAAGTATTTCTAGGTGTGATTTATAGTGTATTTACCATAGAGCCAAGGGCCATCGGTGCCAGAGCCGGGGCCCTCAAACTGGAGAATGTCTGAGTGATTTCGATCGCTCGGATATATCCTGGTCACCTCGTGGCTGCCCTCCTCTCTCCAGAGTCGCCAGCTGGGGGGTTGGGTGGCTCCAGCTATGTCGCCGAAGGGAGAGGGACGGGGAGAACTACAATCCCCCGGGAAACAGCGGCTCGGTGTTGGGAGCACACTGGGGACTTCGGTCCTCAGAATGCGTGACAAAAAAGCCCCAGACAAAAAAAGGGCCAAGAAGGCCATGGCCCGCGGCGGCAAAGCTTTATTGATTTACTAATTATAAGGGGAGGGTGGGAGGACAAATCCTAGGTAATTTTAATATCGCCCCTGCCCTTAGCGTATATTGTCCCAGATGGATACTCCATTGGTGGATAAGACCCCCATATTCACATGACGTGTTTTGGTATTTTACACTCTATCGTGCATGCTCATCACACAAACTTCAATAGGTATCATTGAAACCGGGACATTTGAATCAGAAAACTGTGTGAACCGACCAATAATATAATAAAAGGCAATAAATTTATGCTAGTAAATTACAGAAATACTTTGTTTGAATTGACGAATGAGAATTCACAGTTGCTAATTCGCTTAGCCTTTTGTAAATAAACAGAGCAAGAGTTGTTTGGTCGGCAAAATTTTGGAATAGCGCAACAGGAGTACACATTAGATCATCATTTAATATGGACAGGATTATAATTATAAACGGGTAACTGTGATTTCTGGCTTATGTATTTATAATAAAGTATAATGCAAAAAATGCCATCAAACTTCATTTTTATAAAAATGTCGACCAGTAAAAACTTTAAATACTTTTGGTATTACTCTATACTTATTTTGTTTGGTAAAATTTAGCAAAAAATCTGATAGATGGGCAAACATAAACTTTCTTTACTCAAAGACATGTTAAAAAAATATTTTAACCAAAAGTAGTGTATTTATTTATTTTTCATCGTCGTATTTTCCCTCATCAGGACATTCAGCATCGACATTAAAATACTTCGAGGACTACGTTGAAAGGTAAAAATTTTATGACTTTTTTTAATTACTTTTTGTTCACTTATAAACAGAACTAAATCACAACATAACATACATAGCTTAATGTTATGAAAAAATGTCCTTACAAAAACTATTAAATAAAATCCGAATGTTTTATTTAACTTCCCAAAACGATTTCTCTGATTACTGGCAGGTAAGCTGTTTTGTAACAGACCACTGGTATGCTATCGTGCGATATTAGATGATCCAAAGTAGAACAAATTCGATAGGCAGATTCGTTCCACGCGATAAAGGGATTATAATCCGCCACGCGTAGCACCCACCACTCATAAACCTCTTTTCTGATCTTATCACCGGCAGTACGATCGCAATTCTAATCATACCTGACTAAAAAAACGTTCCCTCGCTTCTGCCATAGTTTCTCCGCGTGATGTGTTGTCACCAGCGCTGTTGTTGTCGGTTTCGGTTTTATGCTTGGAGTCATCTGTGGCAGTCGAAGCTGGAGCTTCTACCGCTGGAGCGGCCTGCGTCTGCGCCGGGACGACTACGGGCGCAGGTCGCTCAGATGCGTCTTTCGTTACGTTCACCACTTTAACACTCCCGTTACCCTTACCCACACCGTTAGTCTTTTTATCGATCCCTTTCAACTTATTCTTCTTAATCTTCGGCTTCTTAGGCGGTTTGCCTTCGTGGAAGCGTCCGCTGGCGCAGCACTGCACGTTACCCATGTCGGTGCACGCGCATGTCGTGGTACATTCAGTCGGTGAGAGTCGGCTCGGTCGGTCGGTCGTTCGAGGCGCGTCGGCGTCGGCGCCGGCTCGCGGAATGAGAGCGCCGCGAGAGTCTCCAGCGTCGGAGTGCCGCCCACCCGCCCCGGTATTTTCGATCCGACTCCGGAATTGCGCTGACCGCTGATTACGCGGATGCCGGCCGCGGAGGATCGCACCCGAAAGCCGAGCAGCGTGCCGACCGCGCTGGCGTCATCGCGCGCCGCCCCCCCGCGCCGCAAGGTCAAGGCGCACTCATTGTTCCCTGGTGCTGCTAGACGCGCATCGCTCCACTCGGATGCGGGGCGACTAGGCGACTGCTGGCTCCACCACCCGCCGCTGCCGGCACGCGAAGCCGCTATCGATCACGCGATGTTTACTGTTGGCTACCACGGGAACGGTTACCCGAGCGTGACGCGCTCTCGATAGTCTTCCACTTACACTGATAACATTAATCGATCTGTGATTTATAGCATTATCAGAATTTCACAAGTAAAATGACTCTACAAGGTCGAGTTGATTTCTTGATGCGCCACTGTTATCGTGCACTTGAGAAGAGCTGATAAAATATTGAAACGCACGTGTTGCGCCTCGCGCAAGCCGTAGTAAACGAGAATGCGTCGAGGAAAACGATTGGCTAGTTAAACATCACTCATTTGTTGTCGAAACGTGCAATACTTGAGACTTGTATAAATAGTCAAACACGGATATTACGGCTAAGTTTCAAATAATTTATGCATAAATTTTATTATTTTTGTAACCTTCATGTTTAGAATAAACATAATGTCATCAGAATTCTAATTTATTATCATTATCCGAAACATGCAGCAGAAATTAACAGGATCTTTATAGAAAAAATTATGCAAAAAAATTAAATCAGAAAAAACTGAAAATCAGAAAGTAGTAAAGTTTTTTTATCTTAAGCCAAATTATTTTCTGGAGTCAGTGCTATGCATGTCTGATAGATCTGAGCTATCCTATTTACTACTTGGGTTGGCTTATTATTTTGTTTTTCAGCTTTTTGGCGGTTTAATTTTTTTTGTTAAAAAGTAATTATTTTATTATTTTTTATGGCTTTAATTTTTGTAATATAAGCATCAAAATCTATGAATGACCGTTCACCCCTATTTTCCCATCCTTAGGGTAGAATTGTGGTTCTTTTAACATAGTTTTGTTTCCAAATTTATCTAGGACCTAATTTGATTATACCCTATCCAATAAAAACCAGTCAAGTTCGTGTCGTGTCACGCGCAGTGTAGGGTTCCGCAGATATTTAATTGTGGTTCTTTTACATAGATTTATTTTTTAATTCTATTTTGTCCTTCCTCTAAGTCTAAGTATAATTACTTCATCTAAGTCATTTGTTATGTGTTCTTCTAAGAAATTTTTATTAGGTAAGAAATGTTCTAAGACCTAAGTTGAACGACTAGTAAACTAACTGATCTAAGTTTCTTTGAAAGTTCATAAAAAATGTTTACTACTTCTCAAACGGAAAAATAGTCTTAGCAAACCCTAAGTCGATTCAACGATAAACTACACACTATGGGGTAGGCGATGAAAAAAATAATTACCCCCATTTTACGTGTAGTACGAGAGTTACCCTAAAAAAATGACCGAATTCAGAGTTTACTCTTTCCAATAAAAAAATAATTATCAAAATCAGACTACTCTGTAAAAAGTTTATACATAAAAAAAACAAACTTTTTTTTCGTCGGTTGAAAACTTATTTCTAATGGAGATCTCAGACAATATTTCAAAAATATGTTATTTATTATTCTCGAGATGCTTATTCTCTGCGTGTAATTAAGTTATTTCAATCTCAAGTCCTTCTGCATTTCATTAACCCAATTAAAGAAACACATATTTTTTTTTTATAAAAGCTGCTTGCCACTGATAAATAAGCGAGATAAGTAGATAAACAGATGGCTTATCTGGGTTGCCGTTTCACAATCCCTTGTCAGCTACGTTTTATAAAAATGTTTTATATTTCTTAAACCCAAAGTGGCTTCTTCTCTGATTCTGAGTCTACATATATCATATCATAATCGGCGTTATAACCTAACTACGACGATTACGAAGTTCACGTAAACTTATATGTACTACCTCTTATAAACAAACCACGGATCTCCCAGAGATCCGCGACTAACATTTTAAGAGACCCTGGTCTTGATTATAGTGTGCTCCTACTGCAACCACTATCACGATCACACCATCGAGAAATATACAGCAGAATTAGTTTTAGGCCCGTATTACAGAATGACAACTAAGTGATTATCTTTACTTGAGTACAGTTAGAATGGGATATCGCTATGTACTAAATATATACAGCGACAACCCTTTCTAACTATGCTCAAGACTAGATCAATCACTAAGAATCTTTCTATTATACGGGCCTTAGAATGCTTATTTATTATTTATTAATAGTAATTTAGTACACACACAACACACTGCTAATTTCACATTTAAACTTCCAGCAGGCCCATGCAAGGAAAGAGCTTAAAAAAGTTGCCAGCGTGTGCTTGTTGACAAGCAGTCAAAGCTGATTATTTAAATTGGATGCATACAACTCCAAATTGAATAATCGTAGTCCCTACCGACGGTTCAGAACTTTTAGTTGTGAAGAAGAGTACTTGATAGGTACAAAATTTCAAGGAACATTAAAGATATTTACAAAAAAACACTTTTCATTGTTGAAGTTAAAAATTTACACTCACACTATAGATTTTTTAAATCAACTGCGGAAATGTACAATGGGCACAACGTCTGAGGATACAATTTGGCATAGACAACGTCCTTAATTAGTAGCAATAAAAGCTAAGAGTATTTTGTCTGAGTAACTACCTATCCTGTACATGTACTGTTATCCGGAACCAGAAGTATGTCTTGCTCCAAAGTGCACAACATCCGAAGGGATTGCAAAACACAGCGTCCTAGATTCCCGACTCCCGAGTGCAGCGATAGCGATACACTTGTTTGAGGCTATTTCTACTTTAATCGCGGCAGACGGGAACGAAATACGTTACCCGATTGACTGCATCCGGGACTTTTAAATAAAAGAATTTATTGTTTCCTCATGTCCAACCGAATTTATAGGAAACCTAAAAAAAGTGAATGTTGCTACGGGCCATCGATACTGAACCATTTACTTACGACTGGAAACAGAAGTTTTGGTTCCAACGCCCATGTTAGTATTTGTTGATTTGTCTAAAAGAGTGGGATAAACAAGTTCCAATAAAATTGTATTTTTAAGTGAACATTTACTATCTTTTGAGGACCATTTAAATATTTTTCATTTTAAATTTCACACTTTATTATAATTGAAAAAGAGTTAAATCAAAAAGAACAGAAAAAGGTAATCTGACGACAACTGAAATTAGATTGTCGAAAAAGGTACTTAAACTAAAAATTCAAAATGAAATTAAAAAAATTGTTCCAGTCGGGAAACTGTTTGTTTTATAGTCATAAAGTATTCCGACAGCAATTTTATTAAGTTGTTTTTGAAAGATGTAGACTAGAGCATAGACTTTATTTTGCACTCGAATTAGAGGCATCCGTCTGGGGGAAGAAAATTTTTTACCGGGTTTTGAAGCAGAACGCAGGTGGTTGTTATTTCTGTGAGTGGGAGGAAATTCGAAATTAATAAATAAATAGTGTTGTTTTTCTACCTATGCTTGGCCTTACCATATCAAACTATGGTGAATCAACATTCATATCAATCAACACGGATACGAAATCAATTTCTATAGCTGAATATGATCAGTTTTTCAAAATGTAGAAAAATATTTTTTAACACATTTGCTCAAAAAATAATGCATTTCGAACAATGTATTAAACCTGCGTAAATGTACAGAGGTTTCATACATTGTTTGAAAGTTCAAAATTACGGGCCATACAACGAAGCGTGTGGTAAAATATTTTACCGCACGCTTCGTTGTATGGCTCTCATACATGGCGCCGTGCGTTTCCTTTATAACTAGTCTGGCTAAACTTCTTCTTCCAGACTCTTCAAAAGCTTGGTATCAGCCGTATGTTCGTCTGAATTGAATTTTCTTATTAGGAAAGTTTGCTTCATATTTTCATTTTAAATTAGGTAGGTTGTTAACTGTTTTCCCGCAAATGTGTTGAAAAACGTTGTATGGCGGAATTGGTATGTACAACCTCGTTTTTAATAACCAACTCACCGCACTAATATCATAATTAACTATTTCAAGATATTTTTCTCCTACAAGATAATTAGTAAACCGAGGCCGATTCCAGATATCATTGAACTCAAAGTTTTTTTTAACAGAGCCGTCGAATGAGTCAGTAAGTCAACAACCGTTATCAATAAACATCCGAATTACGCCATTGCAAAAAATATACCTAAATTGGGAACCTGGCGAGTTCTGAAACGATGTTTTATTTTTGTATTTATGAAATAGGTACGTAACTTTTTGTAAAGTCTCAAGTTTTCTTTAGTCTTTCTTAATTTTGCAAAAAATTTCGAACTTGTCCGTGTTTGTTAAATTACATTAAAAGCTTGTTTAATAAATAAAACTAGTTTTTACGGGTTAATGCACGAAAACTTTATTTATTTATTGACGTTTCGTAGCCTTTACAGGAATGAAATTCTGACGACGTAGCCTGTAAAGGCTACGAAACGTCAATAAATAAATAAAGTTTTCGTGCATTAACCCGTAAAAACTAGTTTTATTTAATGAGTGATGTGCGTGAAAACCTAAGAAACAAATAAGCTTGTTTAATATTAATTTATGACATCATTTTGCAATTTCAAACTTGTCAGAGTGTTTGTTAAATAACATTAAAAGCTTTTTTTCTAGTAAACTTTTCTTTAGATTTAAACATCTAGCAGTTAAATGCTTAAAAATAAATAAAAACATAATTAAAAGCTTGTTTAAAAATATTTATTTATGACGTCATTTTGCAAATAAATATTTACTGTTACGAATAGTTTTAGTCTTTTGCTAAATATTACATTTTAAAAGCACGCTTATTGAGTATGGGATTAAGGAGGGCTTCAATATTTATTTTATTTAGTTTATGTTGTTATAGCGGCTACAGAAATCGATCAGCACTGTGAACATTTCAACTGTCTAGCTATCGCGGTTCATGAGATACAGCCTGGTGGCAGACAGACAGACGGACAATGGAGTCTTAGTAGTAAGGTCCCGTTTTTAACCTTTGGGTACAGAACCCAAGATTTTTCGAAAATTTATTTATGCAGGATTTGGACTGCAAATTGTCAAAAATAATAAAACTCGGATAATTATAGTAATATAAGTTATTTACGGGATTGTTACCATGTACCTTGTTTTTAGCGAGTTTCCGATATTTCGGCACTGTTGCAAGCGCCATGATCACGGAGTAACTGAAGTAATTGCGGGTAGGCTGTTATTGGCAGACATATCGGTCTACCCTCCGACGAAGTCTTTTATTGCGTTCGATACCCGTACCACTGTTCACATTCTCACTATTCACTCGAAACTGTTCTCGACCCACAACACTTACAGTATCGGATCGCGACACGACACTTTTTTGATTATTTCCGGTTTTACACATACGAACCACAGGATTCCAGACACTCGACAATTTAAACCCGTCCTCACGATTGAAATTTTTATGTTTTGTTATTTCAATCGCTTCCCTGACCAATCTTGGTATGTAGTGGCGTTCTGTCGAGATAATCTGTGAGTTATGAAACTCAATCCAGTGGTTAGAACTTATAACTTATATTACTATAATGTTAGTGACCATGAAAGTTTAAAACAACTCGGATAATATTTGAAGATTTAGCA